GTAACTCCTAGCTATTAATACCAAGCTGTACATATGTTAAAATAGACTGGAATGGAAAGGTTAAGTGTTATCCTGCAGATTTGATAAACTCAGCTGTTGTTGTCACAGGTCTTTAAATGACTCTATTGACAGTTTTTCTTTTTTTCCTCTTTCAGTGCCTGCCATTGCGTGCTAAGTTTTCTCTTGGCTCTGCCTGGCAGGAAAAAGGGGAAACTAGAAAACCCCATTAGTTGTCCATTTGCAGAATACCCAGGCTTTACTCTCAATACACAAAGAAATACAACGGTAGGAAGTTGTTTCACATCCGAGCCAAGATAAGGTCCTGGAGGTTTATTATTTTTGTTGCCTGATAGCATCAGGACTGGGGAGCAGGGGGCAGAGAAGGAACAGCAGATCAACATCCCATGGGGACAACAGAAGGGAAGACAGACAGATAGCCAAGTGCCGACAGCTTCAGTCAGTACTCCCAGAGGAAGTGTTGGTTTCACCAGATGAAATTAATACACAGAAGTCTTTACAGAGGCATTCAGATGTGACATTGTTTGAGGGGCCTGGCTATATGGCAGATGTATAAAGCAGTGAATCATATGTTTACATATAATTAGGTCTGTATTGACAAGCCAGGTTTTCCTTTTGTTTAATAATTTCCTACATTAACATCAAAGAGCTTGTTTTCATAATGAAAACACATTTCCCTTTTTGTTTTGCTTTGCTATAGCTGTGTATTAACATCAAATGCAAATCATGACTCACGCAAACCTGACCTGTATGTGTAGATATATCCATTCTAAAACAGATACAATGTTATAAAATTTCCTTAATTAAAATATATTCAGGTAATTTTTTTCTATGTGATCCTGTGTGATCTTGGAAATTTTGTGAAATTTTAATTATAACGTTCAAATAAGTCAGATAGGATTTATGGTTCCAGTTTCTGAGTCAAGAATTGCTTCTATAGATAYTCTGTAGAAAGCTCAATGTAATCTTATTAAGCCTTTGGTGATCTAGGGGGTATTGATGMAGAAAACATTAAAAAATATATTTTTAAAATATGAGATAATTTGATATCAATGGAATAGGAAACTGCAATAAAATCTGGGCTTGGTAGAATTTGCCTAATTTKTTTTTAAATACATTTAAAATATTTTTTCTAAACTTTACAGAAACAGCTCAATGCTGCTTTAGTTATCTCAATCTGTATTTAAGGATTTGAGAGCAAAGCTGATAAATTTTTTCATCCAAGCTGAGGGAACTAAAAATGYTTTAAGATAAGTGTATTCACATAACAAGAAATGGGGACTTCAGGAATGTTTCATGTTGAACAGCATTATCAGTATTTTCATCCACAAGTACACAAACCACACTGTTGGCATTGAATGCCATTTGGTTTATGTTTGTTGRAAATTTTCAGTGTAGAACTTGCAGAATTTAGAATGTTCAGTAATGTTAAACCATATGGATTTTTTCCAGTGTGGGTGTTGTCCTCCATGTTTATAAAGGATAACCCTCTGAAGTCTGAGCAAAGACAATAGTGATTGAGCTCCTTTCACACAGAATGTCATATCCATATTTTCCACCCCTGCAGCTTTCTCAGTTTTGTCATGTTTCTGCTTGGACTATCAAATAGCACAAGGTTCTTGGAGACCCACAGTGGAGGATACCAGCTTTTTAGGTTAGCAYTGCTGAAGTTTTCCAATAGCTTTTACTTTCATTTTTTTTTCCCCTTAAGGTCGAGCTCCTGACACCAAAACTCTCAACCTGGAGACAATTGGAGTGAAAACTAATTCTGAAACTGGAAAGATTATTGTTGATGCCAGTGAAGCTACTTCTGTTCCTCACATTTATGCAGTTGGAGACATAACAGAGGTACTGAGTCTACATAAACTATTTTACAATAACAGGAAGCCAACTTCGTTCCTGACTAATAACTAGTCCCCAGATGTCGTCATGCYCTAGCATATATCTTAGTGTTTTGCACTTTTTCACTTGGCAGGCCTSGAGTGTTTATGCCAGCCACCTGGGTCAGTAATTTCCTTCACAGGGATCTTGTGAAGTATCTCAGCATGAGAGATTATTGCTGATGTTTATCAGGGAATGCATCATTGGTCAGAGGATAATAATAATGTCTTTATCACTTCAATTATCTTTCTAATAATGTTTTTATCACTTTTGACATATGACTTCATACTGCCTGTGAATGCTGAGTGRAAGCAGTTTTTACCTTCTGTAGCTGAATACATTTRCTGGGAATGACTGTGACAAGTTCTRTGATTGCATTTGGAGTGTTTTGGGAGTTAATTRAGACTAATCACAAAACGGCTTTTCTGCTCCCTGATGCAAAATGCTTCTGGCAAAAGTACCTTCCTCTAGAATAAGAAAAAGTAACTGCTGGAAATACTGACTACATTTGACTTCTGTTTGTGATTTTTTGAATGATTATGCCAAGTAAGCAGGAAGAGTGGGAGTTTTTTGTTTGATTTTTTTTTTTCWGGAGGGTACATTATRACTTAAGCAAAATAATTTACTCATTATAGAGGTAAAACCAAAATTCTGTGGCCTTATTCTAGAGCTGTTCATAATCTATACTCATATATGGCAAGAATATCTTGTTATGGTAAATGTGCACTTAAATCCCTTCAATCTGCCAATTTYCAGTTTACATAAGAGCTCAGATTATCTGTTGTAAGTTGAACATCTTCAAATACGTTGACTTAATAAGAAAGGTTTGTCTGGATTCCGAACTGTACAGTTACAGGAGGATGTTGTCATCATCTTTCATCATCCTCCTGTCACTGCAAAATGTAGGCAATATGTAGAAGACAGAGGCTGGGCATTGCAAAATACAGAGTTCTCTCACCTGTTATTGAACTTTATGGAATTGAGGCCTTCCTATCAAGATTGTTTTTCACATAGTGCAGGCATCTGCTTTACAARTCTTCTAAAGCTAAATACTGCAGCAATATCCAAACACCATATATTGTGTAATTTTAGGAAAGTGTAAAGGATTTCTTATTCTGCCACATCTAAAATACTTTAAAGGTCTCTCCAACGTGTAAACCCTACAGGTGCTTTTAGTATCTGAAGAGAAGTAACAAGTTACAGGATGTCTTGGGAAAAGCCCTGTAAAATTCTGACTGGAGTGTGGAGCTGCCAGAGACACTTAAAGCTCATTAATCTGCTGAGCACTCCTGACCTGTTCCCTCTATGTAGACATGTGTTTCTTCCTGTCTGTCTCCATCTTCATGTGAAGGACTTGCCATTTCCTTTTAAATTGTGTTCAAACTCTTTCCTTCTCAGGTATTTATCCTTTTTATTTTTTCCCTTACTCTACACAACTTCTCTGTCCTGTTGTCCTGTCGAGTTGCTCAGAGCTTTAGGATTTTGTAGAGTTCCTCTCCTTTCTTCTCACTTCACATGCAGGTTGCTTCTGTTACTTCTTGCTCTGGGATATTTCCTAAAGTCCACTTTCTGCTCCCAGCAATCTCCTACACCTGCTTATCCCTACCCTTGGCTGGGCCTCCTGCTTTCCAAAAATTTCTTTTTAATTTCATCCAAGAAGCAGTTGTTAGAGGCAATGCTGGCAGGGCTCAGATTCCGTTGCTTATTTTGCTGCCAATCTGCAGTGTTATTTTGGGCAAGTCATTTCCTTTTGGATGCTTTTTGTCTTCTACCCTTTGAGGATTTAGTTAAATAAGAAATATAAAGTTGGAGGCAGGATGCTCTCCTCTTTCCTACTCTGGATCTGAAAAATCATGTCTTCATTTAWTTGTCATTTTTATTTTGTTGTTAAAACTTGGATTTCCTTTTCCTGCTTTTGTCCATATTAGTGCAGATTTTTGAACTTGAGATCTTCAAYAGACACTTCTAAATATAAGTGTTAGAATCAGCAGTATAGTTCTATRCTGTGTCCAGTGTACAATCTGGGGAAAAATGAAAGAGTTAAATCAGTGCTCTATAGAAATATTCCCTTAAGCTTTTATCTGCATATTGGCTCAATGCAGGGAATTAGAGATCATTGTATAATATTCATGCATTTAAAGTGTTTAGAGATAAAAAGAATTACTGCCACTATCTTATCTGACTCCAGCACAATGTGAGCTTGCAATTCCACTTGCTAGGCAATGAAATTTATATTATTTGAATACTTAAATYAATTTAGTCTTTTTGGGGTTTTTTTAAAGTGGAATTAATTTAGATAATAAACTTCTTTGGCATGGGAACCAGCACTGAAAGAAATTTTTGTGCTGGTGCATGTCTCAGATTAACACGCACACGAGAATCAAGTACATCCTGCTGAGAACCACAAAGCTGCAGAGCTTGGTTGTGGTACCTTCTGGGTGTGACCTACCAAAAGAGCCCAGGAAGGGGAATCTTGTTTCCTGTGAGTGAGCAGGAGTGATCCCTAAGAATCATTATCAGAATTATTTTTTCCTCCAGTATTCCTGCTCAAGATTTCCCTTTGCTCTGCTCTGTCCCTATCAGTTTCTTTGCTACCACAAAGAGCTTTTGCTCAAATTTTACAAGTAGTTCCCAAGCCCTCCTCCCTCCTTTACCACTCCAACTGAATAAACACTGAATTTCTACCAAATAGCAAGAAGTACTTTTTTTTGGTTTGAATTCAGTGCCCTGGTTGGAAGGGGAGTGATAGAGGGGGCAGGTGAGTTTCCTCATTGCTCAGAATGACTGTTTTCATTTGGGAGTCATTCCCAGCTGGTACAATGGGAAGCTATGTGTGCATGGGTGTCCTGTTGCACCCTTGTATGRCAAGTGGATTCCAAATGTTATCCAAGCTTTTCATTTGGAGAAAAATGGGAAAAAAAATCTTCCAGACATCAGTCAGTTTGTGTACCCTCAAAAAACATTTTTCGAGTTTTGGCAAAATTGACAGGTGAAATTGCATTTTAGCATTTTCATCTTCTGTTATCAGGATGAGGAAGATCAAGCTGGAATTTTAGTTTGAATTTTTTTTTTCTCTGCTGATACAAACTCTTTATGTTAAAATACTTCCTCCAGTAGTGTTYTTGTTGAAAAGCAGGGCATGCACTATAAAGACATTTTCTCAGAAAGAGGTTTRTCACATGGTCAGGCTACTCTACATCTGTCATATTTCAAAGGGTGTTATAACAAAGATGTGTAGAGAAAGTGGAATGTACAGTATGTAGTTTTGAATAGAAATGAGACCAAAAAGAGTTGTGTTAGAACAGATACACATTACTTCAAAGCTTTTTAAACTCTCTTAGGACCATCTCGTTTAAATGTATAATACATTGGAGGATTCTTATGAACAATTCATGTCCATAATTATCAGCAGAGTAGTTCTACACATGACTGCAAAGTGAATGTTCATTTCAAATATTTACCAAGGAAGGTCTTTAAGTCATTGTTTATGAGGAATTGGGCTTTATCTGCATGGATGTTTTAGTAATTAGTTGGGTTTTATGGAATGCATGGCAGTGCTTTCACAATTTTATCTCTCGTTCCAATCTTCTATTCATTTCTGGAATGCCAAAACAACATATATTTCCTGCTACAGAAATGATTGGCAGACACGTTTCAGGCAAATGTGTATAAGAAAAAACAAATTTCATCTGGTACATTACATTTACAGACTTGAAAGTCAAAATGCTGGATTTGAAAAATTGTGACTTGACAGATGTTAGAGAGAAAAAGGAAAGACTTGCAGTTTTGTGATTTGTCATGAGCTGGGGAGGCAAAATAGTTTAGTCTTCATTAACAATTAAAATTTTGATTTCTGTTATCAGGTTAGACATAATGTTTTAGATTTTTTTTGCAATGGAACTTTTAAGTGGTTATTAGTACAGATAAAATCCTAGATGCCTATTAATATGTAGATAAATTATATGGTATGTGTACTGAAGAAAATGGTAGCTAACACCATATACAGAGTCTATCTAGCAACATGCAAAAAATATAAGTTGAYAGAGAAGAATGGATTCAGATAAACACTAAAAAACTTTTAAGATCATGAAGAAAAATGAAAAACTTTTCACGTGTGTGGTGGGGAATCCTTATTTTATTTTCTGCTGAGAAATGGATTTGAGAGCTTAATAGATGACTGCCTCCAGGTGGGGCTTTGCAGGAGTGTGACAAGTGTTGGATCTAAATAGGGCATGTATGAATCAAAACGTCACACATTTTATAAAGCTATTCCATGTTGTCGCACTAAGCTATGGCTTTCTTATGTCTTCATGTGATTCCTTCTGGATTTGTGACCTCTTATGTCAGAAAAGCATTCTGATGATATGTCTCAGATGAACTCTTAACCAATGTGTTTTTTAATTAGATTCATGAATTTTGTTCAGTCTTATTAATTTATATGGACTGTTCTTTCTTGGACTTGAAAATATTTCCTTGCGAATGCCTTAGTTCAATTTGCAAAAACTTTCAAGTTCTTTAAAACCAGCTCTGCAGTTCTGATGCTCCAGTGGTAGCTGTGCCAGCACTCAGAATGAGGGTTCTGGCACATACATAGTCCTGTTTGGACAGTAAAGGTAGCCAGGACTCATGGCTTGAACTGGAGCACATCCTGCTATCATTCCATTTCTCACATGCAGGAAGTTCACATTTGCCAATAGCAATCCTTCTCAAGCTCCTCTGTACCAGCAGAGCCTGAGACAGGATCAGCTCACCCTGTAGGTCACAGTGCTAGCACAAGAGCATTCAACTTCTTGAGTTCAGCACCAGCATAGCAAGTTAGTAATAATGTCCACAAATAGCTAAGKTTTGTGCGTGTGCTTGCGTTTTGTAAAAGTGTGTTCAGATAATTTTTTTCAAAAGGTCTGATACTATAARAACACTGTTGCTTTAAACTGGGCTCTTCCTGCTTTAAAAAGACACTCCAAAAATTTCTTTGTGGCTTACTATGGAGAGAAAGGGGAAAGTGAACAGTTAGCATGTGAATATGTGCTGCTTTTCAAGAGGGGACGTGGTAAGATATAATTGTTTGACACATTTGTGACATTTTCCTCCATCCTTATGACAGATAGTAATCTCAGACTTAAAAACATGTTTGCACAGAAATTATTATTGCCTTTTCTATTTGAAGCCCTGGCTGCCAGGCTGGAATTCCAAAGATTTGGCCTTCCTCTGACCATTGTCCCAGGAGAAATCTTTGGATACCGCTTCTCTCTTAGTTAAAGCAAAGCTTTGTGCTCTCTTCTCAGGGCCGTCCTGAATTAACACCCACAGCAATAGCTGCAGGAAAACTGCTGGCTCAGCGCCTTTTTGGCCAGTCTTCAGAACTGATGGACTATGACAATGTGAGTTGTTACATCTTTTTTTCAGTAAGAAAAATCTTTGTCTTTTTTCTCTTAAAGAATTTGTAAAGAATTGCTTTGTAAAGAATTGTTTTGTCACCTGTTTTGGCAGCTTTGACAGTAGCCAAAGTGGCTGTGTGTGCCCAAGCTGCAGCTCTCAGCCATTCACAAGTGTCCCTGTGTCTGCCTGGCAGCTGCTTCACATTGTTCAACAGTAACACCTTCTGCTTCCTCCCRAGCAGGTGCCTACCACAGTCTTCACTCCCTTGGAATATGGTTGTGTTGGATTGTCAGAAGAAGCAGCCKTGCAACGTCATGGATCTGACAATATTGAGGTATGAAAACATTTTAATTATCTAGTTGGTGTCAGAGTTGCACTGTGGAAAGGCAGAATTTTCACTGCTGTATCAGGTAAGACTTTCAGACCCCAAAATGCTGTGTTTACAGTTAGGGAGTTGGTGTCTCCAGAAGTGCTTAGAACTTTARTATTGTAGCAGGTCACAATGGGAATTGTGTTGGGCCTAAAATTATTGACAGGGTGTGACAGCTTTAAGGTACCTGCCATTTTAGCAAGTTTTATTGTGTAGCATCATTAAATAATGGTTGTTACTTTCAACAAGTCACCCTTGAAAAAATACATGGTGTTGCTCTTACTTGCCCCAGGGAAAACCATTAATGAAAAAATAAGAATTTACTATTCAGGATGCAAAAACTACAGCTTGGATTCTATTGTCYTATATATTATTACAGATATGGGAAGATTCTTGGATTTCATTATTTTCTGTAAGCAAGGCATCGAACCTTTGGGAGGAGCTTTAAAATTCTTGTTTTTTTCCTTTAATTTGGCAAGTAGTTTGAACAGCATTATTTGTGAAGGGTTTTTCCAGTTTTGTTTTTAATCTAATGATTCTCTGAGAAAGGTTTGTGTTAAGCTCTTACTGTGCTTTCCAYATTTTTCTTTAAAATAATGAATAGGATATAAATAAATCAATTTTTTATACAATGGTATAAAATGTGTAGTAATAGTAGTTGTAATAATAAATAGCAGGTTTTGATGTAATAGTACTCTCTAACACGAAATGTGATTGTTTTTCCTGCCAGGTGTACCATGCATATTACAAACCTTTAGAGTTTACAGTGGCTGAAAGAGATGCAGCTCAGTGCTACATGAAAGTGAGTTTTGTGAGCTTTTAACTTGCCTTTAACTCAAAACAGGGGATATGGTACAGCCAGCTTAAAAGACAACTGTTTAGCAAAAGAGCATCTCAAGATGTATATTTTCTTGGTAWCAGACATCTTGAAATATTGTTACTGTGTAAGGAATGTCCATTGTCRATAATTGCAATCAATTTTCCTGACTGTATTTTGTGAGTTCTGYGAGTGCTTGCCTTAAGTGTCACAAGTATCAGTGTAACTAAGGTGATGATATTTCATTTTATGTATTCTTTCTCTTTGAATTATGTCAATTAAAGTAAATATTTAAGGATAAAGAAGTAATAGCATAGTAGTTGTTGTATGATATTTAATATAGTCCWTACTAAATTCTCAAGCATATAAACAAACGTTTAACTTGAGTGTTTCAAGCTCTATTGCACGAGAGTTTTTCCTTTAAAACTCCTCAATAAAGTCCCACATCAGGATTGCTGCTGTTCCTGGCATTCCTGATGAAAGAATTTAAGCTTTTACTGAATAGCAGAATTTAGTAGATTAGTGATAATTTAATGCTTGATGGGAGGACGCAGGGAGAGACTGAMTTTCTTTTGCTAATTATAAAGATGGTGTCCTTACAGGAACTAAATAGTTTTCATTAAGTTCTCTAATAAAAAGTTAAGTGTGCAATGACTCAGGYTCTCCCAAATACTTATTAACTCAACTTTATATTTGGCTGCTTCCAAGGCTCGACTCCTTTTTAATTTAATGTGGCTCATGTGGTTAATGTATCTCACCAAACAAGCTGCTCTTAAGTGTTAATTGACTGAATCACAAAGGCACCAAATATCCTGTAACTGGTAGTGGTCATCTGTGAGAATACAGCTGATAGTGGTAGTGGTCATCTGTGAGAATACAGCTGATAGTGGTAGTGGTCATCTGTGAGAATACAGCTGCTGGGAATAACTGCACAGGCTTTGAGAAGTTCTGAGGCGGCCACTCAGTGGCAAAGAGCACTGGTCTGGTCACAGGACTACAGCAAGTACTTTGAGGATTTCATACAAATGGCAAACAACAAATTATTGTTGTCAGTGGCTCCCTCAAGTCTGAAAGAAATACCCTAATAAAGCTCCAGTTGAGGAAAGTGCTTAAGGTTAATAAGAGTGAGACCTATTGAAGTCAGTAAGACTTAAGTAAGTACGTAAGTTTTTGGCACACTGGAAATAAACAGCTGAACTAGGATCTTGGGGCACTCCAGTTTCATTTAATTCATCTTCATGCCTTATCTTTAAGTGTTCTAAGGAAAGATCTCTATGTGATGTATTGTTTTCAGATGGTGTGCTTACGAGAGAGGGAGCAACGAATACTTGGCCTTCATTTCATTGGACCAAATGCAGGCGAAGTTATTCAAGGATTTGCTCTTGGAATCAAGTAAGTACAAAAGAATGTCTCTAGCTTCTAAAGCCTTCTTCTTAAGTTATTCTAAGATTATAAAAGATAGCTGTCTAGTTTTGGCAACACTATAAAGAATGCATGCTTTTTGTTACTTTTATGGARTATTGCACATATTTTCACTAAAAATACTGCAGTTCTTCATTAAGATGTACTGGATTTAGTTACTGTAATACTGGATATAGTTAGGGAACAACTGAGGAAAAWATATTGTTGGTTTGATATAGTTAAAGCAAAAACCAGAATTGTGCATTAACTTACTAATGTTAGGGTTTTTTTTTGTGTAGCTTCTTTTCCATTCTGTGCACAGGATAAGAAATCACCATACAGTTTTGCAAGTTGCTTCTTTAAAAGGATATTTGCGCTTTTTGTAAAATCCTTTCTTTACACCTGCCAAATATTTCCTTTCCTAATCTCATCTTTGAATGTGCCCAGCCATGGYTTCTCAAAAGCTCAGCAAAGATTTGCATGAATTCGTATTTCTGGGGTATAAGCTAAATATAAYATAGTAAAAAAGAAACTTCTGTAGGATGATGGGAGAGGGAAGGTACTTTGTTTGAAGCAATTTGATAATTGCAATAACAAACATCCTTGTATCCTTTGTGATCTGATCTTGTTTGAGATTTTGTTCAAATATTAATATAGAAGTCCTCCATTTGAGGGAGTACGGAGTGATTCTTGGTCCTCTCTGGTTAAATGGAAACTTCCTGCTATGCCTCTTGTGCTACAATTATTTCTTTTTTTTGTTTTTATTTCCCCTTTTAATTGCTGATTCACATCTTCAGAAGTGTTGATTCCTATATTTACATTACAAAATTACAGTTTATAACTCTCTCTTCGAAGAAAGTAGTCCGGGACACAAGAAATCAGTTGTGGTGTCAGTTAATTTTCCTAAATTTGATCACCATTTTACTGCAGTTTTAGTCCTACAGTTRTGAGTGACTTTAATAAATGAAAAGCAGAAAGGATTAAGAAGGCAGGACCGCAAGTATCATGTGAGGAATATCTTGGAAATCACTGATTGCAGTGTACCCTCAGTACACATTTTCAACATGTGTTTGTAGTCCATTAATTGCCAGTGGTATAGATTCTAGAACTACATTTTTTAGGATGTCATTGTTTTGAAGTTTTATCCAAAATAACCATTGAAAAGGAAGCACATGAAACTGGAGTGCTTTTCTGCCTTGCTTGAGGGAAATGAAAACTTTAGCCACAGTAAGAGGTTTTCAGCAGGTCAGATTCTTGTATTGGTTTCTATTGCATTTCACAAATCCAGAGCTTTCAATGTGGAACCACCACTGTAAGAGCTGCTCTTCTTTCTTTGTCAAATATTAGGTCTTGCTTCAGCCTCTCKGAAGGATGATTTTTCATCTTCCCTCCCCACCTAGCACTCCAGTAAAATCTGTGGTCAGCAAAGATCTTTTGCTTGTCAGTGCTTTTTTGGATGTAAGCGGAGACAACAGAAGGCATCTATGGCTCCCTTCCCTGTATTTTATAGAGGGAGATAACATTATTCCATAGAGAGCTTGAAATAATTCTCAAATTGGGGCCATTTCTGCTATTCTTACAGCATGACCTGCCAGGAATAGCAGTTCARAAGAAAGTTATCAAGTCTTAAGAATGTTACTGGACAAGTAAGGGAATTAAGCAAGTGAGATTGTAGCACAAGGGTTTTTCRTGGATTTTGTTTGSTTGTTTTGTTTTTTCAAAKGAGAGACTTTTTCTTCCCTMTGCTTATAACATTGATATTAATGTYCAGTGTAAGCACCAGRRASTTTAAGTTGATGGAAGAATATTCTGGTATTACTTCCTTCAGCAGATTCTTTCCAGCAGTTCTAATTAAGATTTTCTTCCTCTGTGTGTATGTGTGCATTTTTKTCCATCTGGAGTTAGTGAAACACACATGTATGTACAAGAAAAGCTGAAGGTTGCAGTTTTGGCACATGTTTTTGCCACAGGCTCAGTTGTGACTTGGGCTAAATTGCTTCATTCTCTCTGTCTCAACTCTTATGACAATTCTTTCCTACCTCAGTGTTTTGAAGCTGGGCGTCTWCGTGTTGTGTAAGTGCCTGAGAAATAACTGACAGCATTGTTTGAAGAACAAATGCAATTCCTCTASCTGATAAAATGGACAAGAGCAGAATTACTTTGATGTTTTAGGACCTTCTGCTTCAAGGGAATASTATTGACTTTGTGGGTGTCTATTTTTGTTGTTGTTTTTGGTAGATGTGGTGCTACATATCCTCAGATGATGAAGACAGTTGGCATTCACCCTACCTGTGCTGAAGAAGTKACCAAGTTGCACATCACAAAGCGTTCTGGCTTGGATGCAACAGTCACAGGCTGCTGAGGTTAAATACCATCCCTGGAAAGAGGGAAAAAAAGCACAAAATGTATTTGTAAAGAAAAGGGGCACTTAGAGTTGAAACAGTTTTAGTGGTTCAGGTTACAGGAATCTTTCTTGTTGTCCTTGTAGACAGTTTTTTCTCACAGCCAAAAAAAATTTCTTTACACCATTACAGTTCTAAAACCAATGCAGTCCTGCTGCAACARATCTCTCTCTTTCAAAGTGCCTAAAGCTCTTCTCTTGCTGGGATCTAGGGAATAATCATAGTATTTTATATGTAAATATAACTAAAGTCTGTGACATCTGAGGCCATCTACAAATGAAGMAGTTGTCTTTTGGCAGACTGACTGCCAGCAGAGGAGTCTCAGAGTCAGACAGGCCTTCCTTAGAAGTTTGGTGTGATGCTTTGTCCTGCATGCTTGGATGGCTCATGAATGATCCTAATATTGAACACTGAGACTCTGCATTCATGAGTGGAAATAAGTTCCTSGAGCAGGTAACAATGGGTAAGCAGTCATCTTTGGGGTTTTTCCTTTAAAATGTGCTATGTAAAGGAATTGAATAGAAAATCGCCTGAAGCTGTCCTGCTGGAAGAGTCACAATGCATTAATAAGTAGCAGCCTGGTCACAGTGTTATGGTGAGGATGGAGAATGAATGATCTCAGAGGTGCTGAAKGAGAAGTTAGATTTTATGGTGGCTTCTCTGCCGACTCCTGAAATTTTTAATTCAGCTCAGTCCAAACTAAATTGACACATCTCACAAATTACTGCTTGAACAGTGTATATTAAGCTGACAAGTAAAGTAAAACCCACTAATAATCCACCTTATGCAGCATTTTCTGTTTTATAGAATGCAGAAATATAGCTGACACTGAAATATTTTCTTGATTTGTTTTTATGACTTTCTTGCTCATGGGCTGGAGACTATATCTCAATAGACTTTTATTAAATTTGCTTTAATAAAGCATGTTACTAAGGGAACTACATTAAACAGTAATCCAGAAAAGAAAGGGTCCTGCTCAGAGCAAAGATATGAAGTAATTTTCTGCAGTTTTGTTTTATTTGGGTGTTTTTTTTGCGTACTGACCCAAATAAGAGAGCATTACCCTGTTGCARATTCCTGCTGATTTTCGGGCTCTCCAGAAGGGGGAGGTGCTGGCTCATCTGTGGCGGGAAGGGAACAAATCTGAGAGTGAATCTTCTTGTGCAGAACCCTGGTGAGGAGGTAGCCTGACAAARGCAAACACAAAACAAACTGCACTGAATTTCAATCTCTGTCGCAGCTGCAATATTTGGATGTGCACAGTCACAGTTTCTTGACTCTTTACAGCAGAATAGCACACATTGGAAGAGACCAGCTTGAGGTGAAACAACGTATATCCTTTTTTGTTGCTTAATATCAGTGTTTTATATGTGGAATTTTATWTTTTCATTCCAAACTTGTTGCACAGTTTTGAAGAATAGTCTGAGGATCGTCTATATATCTGTTGTTTTAATTTGATTGGTGTTTCACTGCTGCAGCCACACAGAAATGGTTGGTTGATATCCAGTATGAAATCGTTTTTACTATGGAAAGTATACCTGTCTGAGAAACTATTAGATAAAAAGATTTTATAAGAAAAAAGATAAAATAGATTTTCCTTGTAAAATATGATATAATAGCATTTTTTACACTCTCACTGATATGAGAACATTAAATTTTCAAATATTTGTTTTAACTTAAAGAGCAACAAAAGAAATCCGAAATGTTTTCTCTGTAAACTCTCCTGATATTTTTGGTCCATGTTTCTGGTTCATAAAACAAGAAGAAGTGACACAGTTTGACTCCAAGTGGCATACTTATCAGATCTGCTGATGCCATTTTTCATCTGTGAAGTCATCCATAAGTTTGTTGTTCACAAGAAATACTTTGTTTCAACTACACTTCCACTCAATATCTGAATTTTGCAGCTGCCTTCAGAAGAAATGATGAAAACTTTATATAAATAGGTACATACCTGCACACTCAGAAGTTTCTGTTTCCTTTAATAAAGATCTTACGAGTATGAGGCAGCCAAAAACCTTACTAGACTTCCCTCAGCTGTTAGGAAAAAAAAAGAGTTTATAGTAAATTAGGGTTTCCTAAAATGTTTTACATAGAGATTTTGCTCTGAGAAACAACTCACCTCTGACAAAACTAATGTGTTTGCATGATTTACGAGGTTTTCTTTCTTTCTTACCTATTATAGTTCCTTTTGTTTTCCACAAATGAAAACATTGGTGTTTAACCCTGTAAAATCTGCTTCTCTTCTCTGCCCTACCAATGCAYCCAGGAGTTGTCTGTCCTGACAGACAAATCAATGAAAAGATGAGTTAGTTTCATTCATCATAAAGTTTAAATTAATTATTTGGSAGAGCAAATAGAGAGATCTCAAGGAAATGTGTCCTCAGCGTATATAGAGTGTGAAACCAATGCATGTCATCGTTTTCAGAAGAAGCAGAACTGTCTTGGTTTTAGAATTGCTGAGTGGACTGCATGAAATTGTTCCTATCTCTTCAACAGCAGCCTGGTTCTGTTCCTTATTTAGTGGAAAATGCTCTTGCCCCCTGAAGTGAAACTAAATATACAATCACACCTACATAACCTAACATCAGCATCAACAGCAAGAYAGAATAATGACAAATACTGTGTTTGTGCTTTTTTTCCTGAAGGATTCACCAGGGATGGTGCTTAAGAATTGTTTTTAAAAGCCTGACTATTGTAAATTGAAACAACTGATGTACATTGCAACTTACTGATTGCATGTGAACATGTTAAAAAAATGTAGTCAGGCCTCTCAGGATGCCAGYTGATGAGGATTTGTTTGTAAAACCATACCATGGTGCAAACAAGTCTGAGCTTTGCTGGRTCCCTCATACATGTGATCCCAATATTTATTGTGTTGTGAATTAATTAATGAATAAAGAATATTTTTTGTAGCAAATGTGTGATTGTACTTGCTTAATTTTGTACATATAATTTCTGCTTACAATAGATTTACTTTTTGATCTTAATGTTGTCTCTCTTGAAGTATGTGTTGAGGAAACAGAGAAGAAGACAGACTCAGACCTTYAATAAGGAAATGTTGATAGCTCTCTCTATCTGTGTGTAAATTGAATAAGAATTGAGATTTTTCCAGGCTCGATGGCCTCTTCTTTTAAATTTAAATTAAGAGAACCTGTAGACTCGGTAAGTACGGTTTCAAATATGTCTTGTTTACTCCAGCTAACGAGGTCTAACAGGTATTTTCACTGTCCAGCATGCTGACATGCTTCTTGAAGTCTTGTCAGGAATAAACTCCTTGAGTGCCATCAGAGTATTATACAGGGCTAAAGTATTCTATAAAAGCTGTTCACTTTGGGGTTTAAACTAGAACACAGAGKGTGAAAAATACATTGCCACAAAGCTAATTAGTAGCTCTGGGTACTGCTAGATATTATTTAAAAAATTAATAGAGAAATCACAAGCAAAATGTATTTAGCACTCTGAAAAACTTCTCTGTCAGAGAAGAAAGGGAGTACATTGTTCAATTCATCTTAATTTTCTTTTATATCTTAAATCCAGTGCCTTTGATGAGCAGTTCCCATTAAGTCAGATGCTATTAAGCTTCTGAAACAGGCTAGTTTAGTATTGCCTCAGTAAATGCCCTGGATTTAATGCTGAGAATGAATATTGACTTTATTATATGTAAAGGCATTTTTATTTCTGCATTTTTAATCTGGTTTAACTTCCTGAATTATTTCATTGCAGGTTCTAACTAATTAAGACAGCTAGTAACAGTGGTTAAAAAAGGGAACAAGGTAAGCATAATTCATTTTTTATTATTTTCATATATCACTTAATCCCAAAGCAAAAAGAATAACAGACAAGCATACAGATGAAACAAATTAGGAATAGAATTTGCTGCATTGTTTATATTATACCTAATGATAGCTTGTTCTCAATGTTAAGGTATTGTGTACAATTAAGTTTTACCTTTTCCCATTTCTGCACATACTTTATTTTGTTATGTCTACTGGAAATGGTTTCTACAGTTTAGATTATTTCACACCAGGAGCTGGAAAAGATACTTCAGTACAACAAATAGACATTTTTTGCTAGCATGGTTATTTGGATAAAAATAAAAAAACATGGATTCCTCAATGCAATGTTTTTCTAACTAAAGCAGTGGAGTATTGTAGAGACTTGGGAGTTTGAAGGGCTCTCTTCAGAGATGCATATTTGTCCAACAAAGTAGGCAATTCTATGCCCATAGAAATTGCCATTTTTCTAAATGCCAGTGACRTCGAGGTACTCAAAGTTAAGGTTGGCCATTAATTTCAGTGGGATGCAGTGTCTTAAGTKCTTTGTTAAAGGGGAATCGATATAAGCATATGCCAAAATGTCTTTTATTATTACAGTTGGGGAGCAGGCTGCAATTATGATTCAAAACATAAAAGGTACAATAGACATCTATGATTAGGCAATGAAATATGCCTTTAATAAGCATAGTGCAGACAGTTTGTTTTGCAATACGTAAACTTGAATAAAATTCATTGACTTTTTCATTCTTTCAGATCTGAATGCTCTCTTTTAAGAGAGGGKTTTTACTTTTATGCACAAAGTTTTCCTGATGTTCTTCCAGCAGAAAGGCTGGATTTGTATGCATTTATTCTAGTGCCAAACTTGGATTTTACTGGGAAAAGAGGAAACAGCAGTGCAGACCTTTTTTCTACTTTTTTTTTCTTTTTCCCAGGGCAGCATGCAACAGATACACTGTAATTACTCTAACTGATTTTTTAAAAATGGAATATTTCTGTCCACTACATGTCAAATAGCTAATTATGTTTCCGTTGTGGTACTCAAAGTCAATATTGTCAGCTCTTCTTAGTTCTAATCCTCTACATAGAATTTTGATGGGCCAGGTGAAATATCCCCTTCAGCACCTTACTGCAATTCTTGTCAATCATCTTGCCATGAAAAACATGCATATTACAAAGGCTTTGGCAGCACTGAATCTGATTTCAGTCTTTAATCTTATATGCACCTTAAGAAAACATCATTCCAACTACTGACATTCTGAATGGGATCCTATTTGCTRTGGGAAACAAAAGAAAATTATCTAATCTTTAATGCATATAATGGAGCTCTTTGGCCATCACAGTGTAAAGGCTTAGTAGTAAACCACATATCTAGGAATAAAACAATTATGATGGTAAACTGGTGCAGAAATTAAACAGAATATCTCAAGTGAATAAGTTAAAAAATGCACGTTTATTAATTCATAATGTAATTGTAAAGTACCTCGCTTCAGGCACTTTTGGACTGAGGAGARTGTCTTTTTTTGGAACCCCTAGACTTTCTGTGCAAGGAGTGCTGTTCACTGGAGTAATTTCTGAGCATGGTACTGTGTGTGCCACTTTTTTTGTTGTTTCTTATAGACAAGATCTAGCATATCTAAAATCTTCTGGTCCTACAATGGAAAATGAACATCATTCCCTAAGAAGCTGGAATATAAACTAATAAGGCAGGTTTCCAGAATCTGATTGCATCAGTCAGAAAGATACAGCATGAAGACAAAGTGGATATTCCCTGGGGTGTAGTGGGAAATGAAGACCAGTCTTGTTTGAACAAGGTGCTGTGCATTGTTAGCTGGGTAGAGATACTGGGAGTTGCAGCCTGTCAGAACCAGCATCTCCAAGGAGGGGGTGGGAGGAAATTTTTCCAGGTAAAAGTCTCAGCAGTTTGTGATAGAKTATGTCCAATATCCTAATGCATTTATTTAAGGAAAACCTTTACACTCCATGAATGAACTGTACCTTTATTGCACCTCTTCCCCTTCGGATCATACAAAGACCAGAAAGACTGTTGGGTTTTTCCGTCCTTCTTTCCCTTACTTTAAAGCAATATGGGAAGCAGTCTTGTTATTCCTTGTTTCAGCATAAAACCAAAGAGCAAGATCCCTCTTCTTCAGTCTTTCACAAGCAGACTCCTTTAGCCCAAGGAGTTAGCTAGGTGGTAACATAACTCAAACAAATTTATGCTAYAGAAACTTTTCAGTCCTTGCTTTTAGACTATTATGTAACTCCAGTAAAATAAAATACCAAGGRAAAGCAAACAGTGAGAAAAGACTGGCTTTAGGCTTTAAACAAAAATAGAGAAAGTAAAAAAATGGTCCCTTCTTTGTTGGCTCCCTGTGARGAAAGGCCCAAATGCATTTTTCCATGGTGTACTCCCAACAAAACAGTTAAAATTGAAAGTTCATTTTATTTTTATCTCTTTCTGATGTGTGAATGAACTGTAGTGCAGCCAACAAATATTCTGTTCACACTATGTCAGAGCAACAGGTTAGAAAACAGYTGTTCACTTTATGCAGGAGGTTGAGCTCAGCAATCTTTATTTAAAYGCCTTTGTTCAATGGGGACAAAGGATTGAGCTTTGGCATTTTTATTTAATCTTTATAATCTTCCCTTTTTTCTCTCTCTCAAARGATCAAGAGGAAGTGCATTAATTTTCAACTTCACACGAAGGCAAGTTGTACAAACACAGCTGAAAACATCAGGAAACTCAGGCATTTTCCTTAGAGAAATGGAGTCAACTAATG